AGGAAATCAGCATTAATAGCAACAGTAAAGCTAAGCTAAAGCTAAGCTGAAGCTAGACTGAAGCCAGGCTGAAGCTAGGCTGAAGCTCAGCTAAAGCTAAGCTAAAGCTAAGCTAAAGCTGAGCTAGAGCTAAGCTAAAGCTGGGCTCAAGCTGAGCTAAATCTAAGATAAAGTTAAGCTGAAGCTAAACTAAAACTAAGCAGAGCTAAGCTGAAGCTTAGCCAGGCCAAGCTAAAGCTAAGCAAAGCTACGCTAGGCTAAGCTAAGCTACCCTGGCTTTGCTTAGCTAAGCCAAGCTAAGCTAAGCTAGGCTAAGCTAAGCTAAACTAAGGTGAGATCAGCTGAGCTACGCTAAAGCCAAGCTAGGCTAGGTAAAGCTAAGCTAAGATGAGATGAGATAAGATAAGGTAAGCTAACCTCAGCTAAGCTTAGCTAAGCTAAGCTGGGTGAACCCAGGGGGCGCAACTGGGGGAACCGCGGGGCGGATGCCGGGGGGGCCGCCCGGGGCGATTTACACTGCCCGGCCCCTGTAATCTCTAAAGTAATACTCTTTCTAGGCAGAGCCTGGGAAGGGAACGTTCGCTTGGGACACATGCGGGTCTCACTTGAACTACACGTGGACTACGCTTGACATGCGCTGGCGGCGCTTGAGACACGATTAGCGTCATTTGGAATACATCGAAGTAACCTGGACCACACTGGAGCCACACTTGCACCGCGCCCAAAATACACACTTGAACTTCGCCTGGGCCACACTTGAGCTGCTTTTAAATTACAATTGAACTCCACAGGCCTCGCCTGTACCACACATTAGCTGCACCTGATCTGCATTTGCGCCGCACTTGGGAATCACAGCTTGGCTACACTTGAACTGCAGTGGATCTACATGTAAACTACAGTTGAACAACAATGGTAGCGCCTGGACCACACTTGCACAACGCCCGAATTTCACTCGAACCACACTAGGGCTACACTTGAAACACAGGGCTACCCTTGAACTACATCTGAACTCTACGTGAATTACACTTGAGCTACGAGGACTACCCTCCGCCACAGCCAAGGTCACCTGAACTACACGCGACGTCCACTGGAGCCTTCCCTTTCGCCACCCTTGAACAAACGCCTGCATTGCGCTTGAACAGGAATCGAGTTCCTCCTGAAGCACACAGACTACCAGGTTCACACATGGTACACACTTGAACTACACCTGGACTTCACATGGAACGCACCCGAGCAAAACTTGACTTACATGCCGACTGCGCTCGAACTACACTGGCACTGCACTTGGACCACGCGGGCTTTCCTGGACTACACTTGAAATACACCCAGGCTACAGTTGAACCGCACTTGCGCACGCGAGCGGGCGACGCTTGGGCGCGCGAGCCAAGTGCCAGGCTTACACCAGGACGTCCCATGTTGCGATTGCGCCCCACGCGCGGCGCTTCGGTGTCTCGTGCATCGCATGCGCGAGGCTGCGACATATCCTGCGCCGCCATGACGCGCCCGGGGCCCAGTGCTTCGCGATCGTCCGCAGTAGCGGCGAAGCTGGCATAGTAACGCGGAACGAATGTGCACCCGGAGCTGCGATTCCGTAGCAAGTTAATGCGTGCGGTATTTGTCGTTACGTAGGCATTATCGTGTTTGTTTTTTCCAGTTGCCGCCGAGGGTTCCCCCCGCAGTTCCTGCGGATGAGCCAGCCATCGCGAGCGCGCCCGCGCCCGGCGGACACCGCGCGCATCGCGCCACTTGCGGGTGCGCCCAGAGACGGCAAGCGTCTGTTCGCACAGATCATCCGCGCTATTAGTTGCTTCTGCCATGCAGGCAGCTGCGATGGCGACCGTTGGAGACCACCGCTGCGCTGTGCAACGTGGAAGAGCCGCTCCGCACTATGCGAACGTAGGGTGTGTGGTTGTTTCTCTATGGCACACCCTGCTGCGTGCGAGCGTTTTGTGCAATCAGATGGTTGGCCAGCTGAAGTGCTGCCCATCTGTCGCGCGGCGCCCGCGCAGTCGGAGGCCCCGATGTCGATTGCCGCGCCGAGCTCTCAGACCGCTCCGCGATCGTCGCCGCGGTTGAAGCTCGGGGGGGCGCGATGTCAGAGCACTGTGATTTCAACAAGTCTATTCTAAGTCGGGCGGGCGTTCCCTGTTCGAGCGCGCCGCTGCTCCTGGAGTTCTGCGAGCGCGCGGCGACGCAGGCCGCTCGCGCCGCCGGGGCCGCCGTCGCGCCCGAGAGCCCGACGTCGACGGTGGCGAGATTAATGCGTTCGAAATCTATCTGTCGAGCAATATGGAAACGAGACATCACCCTCGCCTCCCGTCTCCAAGTCGCCCACGAACTCGGCCGCCGACTCTTTGGCGTTGACTCGACCGAGCAGAGCATTATGCGCGCGAGGCCCGATGGCTGTCTGGCGTTGGCCAACCAGCCCAACGCGCCCGCGAATGCGCCCGCGTGCGCACGGGCCCGGGCTGAGATGTCCGAGTTGTCCGCGCCGCGGTTTCGGCCCGATCTTAGAGGGGGGGTCCGCGGGCCGGCATGTCGAGAGGAACGGTGGTTTCATATTGAGAGGATGCGCTGTCTTCTGGGATTCAAAGTTCAGGAATGCATCGCCGCCCGCCCTGGGCATGTTGAACGGTCTCGGCGAATCATGGGCCTCTGTTTTTCGCGCGCGAGAGGTCGACGCAGTCGCGGCAGAGAGTTGCCGCCCCCTCTCTGCTCCTGCTGGCGACCTCGCAGATCTGCCCCCGCCTGGCGGCGGCTTGAGCGCGCCTCTCGGATTGCACTTGGGCCCGACGCTCTGTCGCACCAGCCGTGGCGAGTCAATCCGTTCCGCTGCGAGACCCGGGAATGGGCGGTCCTCGCCGGTGCTTCCAGGGGCGCGCATTATTGCGTGGCTTCGACCTTGCGGGCGTTTTGGCCCCAGAGGACACGGGGGTCAGGCTGGAAAGTAGATGAGTCGTGAAGCGTCGCTCATTGGGCCGCTCGGTTTGTATGATAGAGGTTAAAGCATGTTCGTTGTCGTCTGCGTCGGCGAGATCCCCAGACAAGTCCGTGGATGAAGCCCGGTGCCGTTTCATCCCTGGACGTAGTTCCGTGATGAATGTTCCGGCCTCCGACGCGGCCTCGAGGGTCATTGGGTTTCGAAGCGTTGCTGCCGTTCGGATACCCCTTCTGGTAGGTTTCAATTTCGGACAGGCGTCCCCTTCAGCGTCGCGGGAGTGGACATTCCGTGCCCGGGTATGCCTCTCTCTCTTCCGCCCCCTCTGTTCGTCTTCTTTCGAACCATATATCATTGCGTTACTTGCGTTGGGCAGCTCTCGCACGTTGAAAAGCATCTTTTTGCACAAACTTCAGGCGTCGTCCATCGGCGCCCCGCCGCCAGGGCCCGCCGCGCCAGCTCGTCGCGCGTTCTTTCTCGGTCCGCCTGCGGGCCGCGATCGAGGGCCCGAGCTGGCGCCGGCGACTGGGTCGCGTGCACGTAACAGATCACAACGCTGCGGCTACTTGCGGCCGTCTTCTGCGCAGTGGCGCGAGTGGCAGGGCTGACCCTCGTGATCCACAAGTGCCGCATGGTTTCGCTGCTGGCTCCGTGCACGCCGAGAGCGATTCCACGCTTTCGTCTCTGGCTGCAGCGAGAGATTCCATAATGGTCAGAGATGTCAATTGGCCCGTGCCTGAAATACCGAGTAGTGTTTGTTGGGCCGCAGTCGGAGGGCGCGTCGCGGCAGGCCCCGCTCCTTGCGCGCTGCGCTCGGGCGCAGTGCGTCGCCGCTGCCCGCGCCTCTCCGGCTGTGTTTGCGTTCGTGTACAATCAACGTGCGGCCATGGTTGCTTCGCACACCCCATGACTTCTTGTCCCCACAATTCGTAACCCGCGTCGAGAACGCATCCAGTGCCATGATCCTCTCGACCCCGCGCTGTCGTCTCACGCGAGCCGATTCCGTCAATCTCGACCGCTGGGGCTGGCCGGGGATGGCCAGCGCGACCGCCGCCAATGCGGCCACCCTCATGCGTTGCGCGTTGAGGTCTTTCAGAGAGTAGACAAAGTTGCGCGACGAGTTGAACGATCTGGTTTCTGCACCATGCGCTTGCGAAGGTCTTCGGAGGAGAATGTAGCCCTGGCTTTTTGGGCGCCCCTCCGATGGTCCACACTTGGTGGGAAGCCCGCCGCGGTTTGCCCGTCGCGCCCGGTTTGGAAAAGCGGGCTTGTATAAGTTTGTGAGGAGCGTGGGCTTTTGTCGCAAGATCCGAGAGCCAAGCGCCAGAGAGCTCTCGTTCAACAGCTTCAGAAGTACTTCGCGCCCGCCTAACTCCTCCACGTTCGCGGCTCGCCTTCGGGAGTGGCTTCTGCATGCGAACCCGCCCTCTCCCGTGCCATGTGGCTGGACGCTCGGGTTGGAACCATAAACCCGCCCAGCGCGTGGGCCACACCATTCATTGAGACACTCTCTGGAGGACGGGTATGCGCCGAAAGTTTCCAGGAACGCGAGAGCGCCTGCATCCTGGGCTGTCGGGGTCCTGATCATGTCAGTCACTGGTTGTGTCTCCTCGTTTCCTCGCTCTCTCGCTTCTGACGCGACTTCGCGTGAGCTCCCCACGCGTGTGATCCCCCGCCGGGGTATCCTCAACCCTTCGAATCCGTTGCTGCAGATGCTTGCTGCCTTGTTCGCGCTCTACAAGCATTTACGTTACCTGCCGCGCGACAGAGGTGCGCTGTCGCAGGCCGCCGCCGAGCACGTGCTTCCACAGGTGAAGGCGGCCCATCGCCGCATTGACATAGGCTGTGATGTGCGATGACCTCAAGAACATCCGGTTTCGGCTCCACGCCTGGATGAGGAGGGGGAGGAGGACGAAGAGCAGGTGGACGACGACGACCACGGGAATGGGGGGGGGGGCGACTGGGGAGCGGCAGGGGGAGGACGGGGGACCAGGAAAGCGGAGGAGAAGCGGGAAGGAGGGGCGAGGCCGCGAGGAGGGAACCCGCCGGAGCCCCCCCCAAG